CCATACCGCAAACTACAGAGGCTGCCCGGTCTATAAAGAGCTGAAGAGTCAGTTTCAACAAGCAAAATACGCATGCTCCCAGAATGCACGAAATGCGTACGTTCAATCCCAAACCACACCTGATGTTTTCTTTGCGAAAGCAGCCAGATTTTCATTTGAGCCCGTCAACACAAATGGGGGAGTTTCATACGCCAGTGCCTTAAAATCAGGATTTGCCAATCAGAGCAAAATATAATAACACCTCAGCAAGCAATAGGTGATGCTGACTTTACAACAGGGTATGATGGAAAGTATGTCCTACATGAAAACAACAATGGCAAACCTTATGCAAAATCAAAACATTTTATATATTATAATGTTCCTTTCCTTTGTTCCTTTCGCATTATTCCATCGATTAATACCAACGGACCAACTCCATTTATATGGATGCACCCCCAGACCATAATTGACCCGCCACCATGCTTGACGGTTTGCCGCTCATTGTGTTCTAGTTAATCTACTTGGCACAGAAAAGCTTAGCCGACTTACTAAGTCGGTGCTGTCAATCTCACCATGTATAAGGTTATAAATGTGGACAGTACCGAGCATTGTTCTATAGTTGGCTAGGGAGGGTAAATTAATCAACAGAAGTCTACTAGAATAAGAATGTATGTTAAGATTTGCATCCCAGTTTAGGCGCCGTAAAGCAAAAAGGGGAATGTTTTTTGTACTGATTTAATACGACCAATATGTATTCCGTTTTATGGACTCCAGACGGGAGACCAATACTCCAGAATCGGACGGACTGGCGAAATAAATAAAGTTTTAGTGACATATGGATCATCGAATTCGTTTGACCACCTTTTAATAAATCCAAGCAATCCTCTGGCTTTATTAACCATGGACGAAATTTGATTGGAAATTTTAGTTAAGGGTCCAAGAGAACGTCAAGATCGTTTACAAGCGTTATTCTATCCAAAGAGCTGCCACTTTCTGCTCAAGTACTAAGAAAATTTTATTGTTACCCAATTGTGTTAAAACTTTATTAATATTGGGTATTGGATACATACACTAACGAGCAAAACTGTAACACGAGTTCTATACTCTAACTTCAAAGGTCTGTATCTTCAGTTCTAATTTATACACTTTAAAAATCTTAATTTTGTTTTGTTAGTATGTTCATACACTAAGTTTTAGGCCATTTAATAATAGGAATAAAAAAGCTGGAGCAAACTGTAAAATATGTCTAATGTTACAGTTTTGCACTGCGGTCATTTTGTAAACAAATATTTTTATTAATAATTTGTAAATAATGTGTCCACTGCCCTTTTAACTTTTTAAGTTCTTCTACACTATTTGACATACCTTGGGTATAGCATTGCACCAATTCGGGGGGAACAGCATTCCATACGTCCTTTTTCCTATCCCACAGCTACTCCATTCTACTTGGAGAAACTAAATTTTTCGCCAATAGCGATTTCACATAACTTCATAATTTTTTTAATTGGATTCATATCCGGGGATCGTGGTGGCCACTACATGGACTGAAATTTTTGTTTTTAAATCCGATTTTTTTTACGAAAAGGGGCGTATGCTTTGAGTTATTGTCTTGCTAAAAATTGCATTTTTCAGTAGAAATACCCGTATTCCGAAAGACTTACGAAAGATTTTTTTGTAAAATGCGCAAATATTGTTCCTTTCGCATTATTTATTTTGGTAAAAATTTGGATTTAAAAACGAAAATTTCAGTCCATGTAGTGGCCACCACGATCCCCGGATATCAATCCAATTAAAAAAATTATGAAGTTATGTGAAATCGCTATTGACGAAAAATTTAGTTTCTCCAAGTAGAATTGAGTAGCTGTGAGATAGGAAAAAGGACGTATGGAATGCTATTCCCCCCGAATTGATACAATGCTACACCCAAGGTATGTCAAATAGTGTAGAAGAACTTAAAGGGCTGTGGACACATTATTTAAAAATTATTAATAAAATTATTTGTTTACAAAATGACCGCAGCGCAAACCTGTAAAATTTGACTTATTTTACAGTTTGCTCCAGCTTTTTATACCCTTGCAGAGGGTATTATAATTTTGGTCAGAAGTTTGTAACGCAGTGAAGGAGACGTTTCCGACCCCATAAAGTATATTTATTCTTGATCAGGATCAAAATGGGAGTCGATATAGCCATGTCCGTCTGTCCGTCCGTCCGTATGTCCGTCTGTTTCAATACCGTTTGCGAGCTCAGTCTCATCTGAAACTTTCACAATCATCCTAAAACATGTGTACGCAGATCAAGTTTGAAAACCGCCCCGATCGGATGTCTATATCCTATAGCTCCCATAGGAACAATCGGATATAACTTGCAGGAATGGAAGATATTTCGCGCCGTGTAAAAGCTTTTGACAAATCCAAATCTTATGTTTTTATGCATACCTTGATCAGGGTAAAAGCGCGTGCCGATCGGACGTCTACATCCTATAGCTCCCATAGGAGCTAGTATATAAGCAGTATATAAGCTATTGACATGAATCTTTCCAAATCGTATTTTTTTATGCATAAAATTGTTAAAGACTGCGAAAATATCCCTTTTTTCTATTTTTATATGTCATTTTTAGTTTATTTATTCCTTTCGCTAAATTTTCAATTTTAGCAATTTCGGCAAAGTCTGCAAGGGTATTAAAACTTCGGCTTGCCGAAGTTAGCATACGTCCTCGATTTCTTTTTATTTCGTTCTTATAGGCGCTTTTTATTAATGTGTGTTTTTACGAATGCATATCTGTGATCTTTGGTGTACAGAAGAGGGCACAAATGTAGAAAAATTCGGAGTGTAGTTAAACATAGCGAGTCTGCAGCTTCTGCTTTGCGCTGGCTATTATCTAAACACTATTGTAGGCCAGTCAGACTATAATTTAAGAGGGAGACTACCACATTAACCGTTAAAAAAAAGCAGTATGTTACTTTAAGAACAAAATAAACGCCTTAAAGCCTACCAAATATGGTACGTAATTTTCATTAGAAAATTAAATTTAATTTATAAATCACTCAATGCATCTTTCTATGGTAGATGGTAAGGCGTGCAACGCGTTAAGCAATACACCCTCAATGAAATGCTATAAACGGAGTAAAACCCAAACAAATTAATTTAGAATCGTGTATTTCAAGAGAAGTGGATGAAAAGTATTTTGAATTCGGATTATCATCACATCATGCCTATTAAGTGCTTTTTGCGCATTTTTAGATCACCTGAACAAAAGCTTTAAATAAAAAAGAGAAAGGCCCCAGTTCAAACGGACTGTAACGACCTGATTCTTTATTTTCTGCTCGCTACGTAAACGTGCGGCTAGCTCAGAGAAGTTGTGAGTTCGTTCCACCAAATTTATATTGAGTGACCGCCCGTGACCAAAGGATAACGCAGGAAATGATTAGGTTGGTGCTGGTTTATTGTTTCTCTACAATGTAGCTTTATTGCTATTAATCTGCTGTCCGTTGTCGCTGTCTTCTGCTGCGTTGCTCCTGGCTCGCTGCTGCGCTGCTCCTGGCGTGCTGCTGCGTCGCTCCTGGCTTACCGCTGCGTCGCTCCTGGCCTGCTACTGCGCTGCTTCGGCTTGCTGCTCCGGGCGACTGAGATCGGGACGGCTCCACCAAAAACCCTGGATGTTATGCGAGCTTCCCTACCGGCCGGCAAGGTGTATCGCCTAGCAGGTGAACCGAAGTTACGCCTAATCGCCTAGCCACCTTTATCGCCTGGCTTCTGGAGTTCAGCTTGGACTTTGTCGGCAAGGTGTATCGCCTAGCAGGTAGAACAAAGTTCTCCCTTATCGCGTAGCCACCTTTATCGCCTGACACCGCGCAAGGACTCCCTAAGCTTGACTTTACCACGACCTAGCACCGTTGGATCTCAGCGTTGTAGCCTCAGCCTTGTAGACTTCGGCGTCTCGACTTTGCGATCTTGATCCTTGGGCACTTCGGTTTCGATGTTTACTTATTCCGCGTTCACGCACTCGCTCTGATTCTCGCACTCGTACTGTCCCGAGCTGCGCTTGCGCCGTCCTTTTTATAGGCGTTGTATGTGCCGTTATTTCCCTCGGGTCCAAGGTCCATCGAGGTACCGTTAATTCACGGTGTGTTCTCTTTAGGCGGGTCCAAAGTCCGCCAATTCACCGTTTGACCTCGTTGCCCTTGCCATATGAGGGTCCAAGGTCCGAATGTTTCCCGTTTGACCTGGATGCCCTTAATTTCTCCGGTTTTCTCGCCTCCTCCGCTGTTGCCAGGCCGATCTCCTGCATCGAGATTTGTGGGGAGTTTATGACTCAACACATTTCCCCCTTCCTTCGGAAACGTAATGAAAGTGGTGACTTTCCCCGCCCTTTATGTTTAGACTACTCGAATTCCCCGCCTGACTTGCGTGTTAGATGTTCCCCAGACAGTTCCCCGAAAGACTTAACCTTTCCCCAGACTGTTCTCCTAAAAGACTTTACCCGTACAGCTCCGTGAAAGACTTGAATTTTCCCGCGACTGTTTCCCTAAAAGACTTTTCCATGCAGCTCCTTGAAAGATTATTTCCCCAGACTGTTTCCCTGTTCCCCAGACAGTTCCCCGTTCCCCAGACAGTTCCCAGTTCCCCAGATAGTTCCCAGTTCCCATTTCCCAGACAGTTCCCAAGACAGTTCCCAGTTCCCCTGCGTGGAATTCGAATTTTCCCGCCCAGACATTTTCCCAAACTAAAAGTCACCATTTCGCTTTCCCTCGGTCCGGCAACTCCCTGGAATCTCACCACGATCGCGTTTATCGATTGTTGGTTCCAGTGTTGCCATCGTCGTTGCCTTTTCGTTGTCTTAAGTTGCCATTTGAATTCTTGAACATAGAAATAACCAATTTTGTTAACCCATCGATCGCAACTATCGATCGACCGCCTATTTCGGCGCCCCCGTCCCTATTACCTATGTCCGGCAACTCCCTTATTCCAAAAGGTAAATAAACAAACCAATTGTGATTTTCTAAAACCATTAATGGCTTTTATTAGCCCCTCAGGACTCTTACCACCCCGTTGGATACCCGGATGCGGTAGCGGACGCCGTCTACCACGAGGAGTTTGGCCCAGAGGCTGCTACGGGCTCTCCTCTGCCGCCTGTTGGCCTCGGCTGCCACCCTGGGCGGCCACTCTTCCTCGGCCATCTCCTGACAGCGGCTGCTGTCCGCCGAATTTTGGCGGGACACTGACGGCCTGGCTGGTGGGGACCGCGGCTCCGGGCACGACGTCAGCCTGGCGAGTTTGGGCGGCCGTGCGGCAGGCACTCCTGATGTCGGCCACACCCAGGGCCCCTTCTCCCAGAACTCCGGCTCCCCACCGAGCCGTTTTGCTGGCAACGGCGATGGCGTTGGCACCCACGGCGGCGGTGGAGGCGGTGGTGTCTCCGCCCGTGCCGTGGTGCCTGGATGGCCGTGGTGCCTGCGGCGGTGACGGTGGTGGGGGTGTTGATGCGCCGGCTGCGACAGCGACGACGGTGGCGACGGCGGTGGAGGTGCTTGCAGCGGCGGCTGCTCCGGAGGGCCTGGCCGTGCCCAGATTGCTGCCTCTTCGGCCTCAGCCTCATCCAGGCGCTTTTGCCACTCCCTGGCTGCTGCGGCTGCCCGTGCCACCGCCCGCTGCGCGAATACTCGCCGCACCACCTCTGCCCGGGTTGCGAATATGCGCTTTGCCTCCTCCGGGTGGCCCGATGGCGCAGCGTCGCCCAACCGGATCCGCCCGAATCCGGCTCCGGCCCTCTTTATCCGGCGGAATGCCATCCGGGCCTTCGCCGCCCGACGTGGCTCGAGGAGACCTCTGGACTCACCGTCTCCGTCCCGGTGTCCTCCTTGCTTTCCTCCTCCTCCTCTTCGGACGACGACAGGTCGATAGTCGTCACCTCGGCCTCCTGCCCTGCCGGCCGGACGCCGGCCTCCTCCTCCTCCTCCAGCTCTACATCCGTGATGCGTTCCTCGTCCTCCCATTCGGGGTTCGGCGACGGGGACCGCGACACCAGGGGGGACGCCAGCAGCTGGAGTGCGGAACCTGAGTCCCGCCTCCATCTCGCCGCTGGCTGTTGCCCGGTGCTGCCTCCCCGCCCCTCTCCCCTCATGACCTGACTGTTGCTGCTGCTGCGTGCTGGCATCTTGGCGACCTGATTTCAATAGGCCCGTCTTGTGGCGCTCGCGCGCTGACGAAACCTCGGTTGCCCATGTTTCCGGTTCCGTTATCCGCGGCGGCCTTTGGACTTTCCCTTGCTACGGGCTCCGACGGGTCCCCGCTTTGGTATGCGTTACCCGGTAACGGTATCCGCATCCTATGACCCTCCCTCTCCCGCTCTCGCGCTCCTAATGCATCTGTGTGAGTTCGATACTGTGTATCGTCCTCTCCCTCTCTTTGGATTCACAGTGCGCCCCCGCTAAGTCCGACTTAGATCCTTTGTTTTGGCCATCAATAAATTGTTTTTTTAATTGGCTAACGTGGGCGGTTTTTTCTTTGCCAGTCTTTTCATGCCGCAAATTGCATATCACCGGCGAATTAAAATTTATTATCTTAAAAGGCCCGTCATATTTTGGTGCCAATTTTGCAGCGAATCCTTCTGCGGCCTTGGACAGATGATGTTCTTTAGCACAGACTGTGTCACCGATGTTCGGTTTCCATGGACGTCTACGCAGATTGTAGTGGCGTGCCTGATCCGGCTCTGCCTTTTCCATATTTCGCCTCACCAGCTCGAAGATTTCTTTCAGCTTCTGTGCGTTCTCGGCCGGAGTTTGCGTTTCCCTTCCTGTGCCGATTGTTCCTTCGTCGTACAGTGCGCTGGGTAACCTAGGCTCTCTCCCTTGCGTAATAAAAGCAGGCGAATATCCCGTGGATTGCACCACGCTCGTATTCACGGCCAACTGCAGTTCCGGCCCCTTTTCGTCCCAAGTCCTCTGGTCTGGCCCGGTGAACTGGGCGATCATAGTTTTCACCGTCCTGTTGGCTCTCTCCGTCGGGTTTTCCTGGGGCATGTATGGGGCCGTGAACTGGTGTCGGACGCCTAATTCACCCAGGAATTTTTTAAACGCCCTGCTGGTGAACTGAACGCCATTGTCTGTAATCAGTACCTTGGGCACGCCGTATCTTGCGAGGATCCGCTCGCGGATCGCCTTTTCCAGAGTTTCCGTCGTTGCCCTGCGCATTGGCACCATTTCGGTCCACTTGGAGAACCTATCTACCAGCACTAGTAGCATAGAATTCCCGTGTTTGGAGCGGGGCAGTGGTCCGACGAAATCTGCGCACACAGTGGCCCACGGCTCTTCCGGTACTTGGGTCAGCATTTTTCCGGCCGCCTGTAGTTGGCTTGGCTTATATCGTAGGCAGCTCTCGCAGTTTTGCACATATTTCCTTATGTCGCGGTGCATTCCCGGCCAATGGTATCTTGCTGCGACTCTGGCAATTGTTTTCCGACTGCCCATGTGGCCAGCTGTCGGTGAGTTGTGGTTCTCCGACATTACCCGCCGCCTGGACCCCGTTGGCACGCACAGCTTCCATGATGTGACATCCTCGTTGCCTGCTCTGTGCGGTATGTGGCGATATAGCTGGTCGGCTTCTGTCATGTAGTCTGGATATTTTTGGGGATTTTGGGAAATCTTGCTCCGCATATCCCTTATCCAGTTACACTCGCCGGTTTCCTTGTGCTGTTCCTGTGTTTTTACCCGTCGACACGTTTCTGGCAGTGGCTGTCGTGATAGTGCGTCTGCTACTATATTCAGCTGGCCCTTTCTGTACGCGATCTCAAAGTCATATTGCTGCAGTTCCAGCGGCCATTCTGCGATTCTTCCGGTTGGGCTCTCGATGCTATTCAACCACTTCAGTGCCATATGATCCGTGATCACTTTGAAGTGGTAGCACTCCAAGTATGGCCTTAACTTGCGTATGGCCCACACAATTGCCAGGCATTCCTTCTCAGTCGCTGAGAAATTTCTTTCCGAACCATTTAGGGACCTACTGGAATACGAGATCACCCTCTCGCCTTAGTCGGAATTCTGTGTGAGAATAGCACCGAGCCCGTAATCGCTGGCGTCGGTCTGCAGCACAAATGTTTTTGTGAAATCTGGGCATGCTAAGATTGGGTCTGCGATTAGCCTGGCCTTGACAGCTTCAAACGCCTGTTGATGGTCATCTGTCCATTCCCATCTTGTGCTTTTCCGGAGCAGGCTATTCAACGGATGCACCAACGTTGCAAAATCTGGCACAAAACGCCTGTACCACGACGCCACTCCCAAATATTGTCGTAACTCCTTAACGTTGGCCGGTGGTTTTATTAAGGCAATTGCCGACACTTTTTCTGGGTCTGTTCCGATGCCTTGGTCTGTTATGCGATGCCCCAAATATTGCAGTTCCTTTCTAAAAAATTTGCATTTTTCCGCATTTACTTTCAGGTTGGCAGCCCGTAGTCTCCTAAACACTTCCTTCAGGTTTTCCATATGCTCTTCGAGCGTTCGTCCGATGACGATAATGTCGTCCTGATACGCGAAGGCATGCGGCATAATTTCTGGTCCAATGACTTGATCCAATGCCCGCTGGAATGTTGCCGACGCGGAGTGAAGGCCAAGTGGCATCACCTTCCATTGGAACGGGCCCTTTCCTGGTACAGTAAACGCCGTATACTGCCTGCTGTCTGCCTCCAAGGGGATCTGCCAGTAACCGTCCTTTAGATCGAGACTGCTGATGTACTTCGCCTCTCGCAGCTGGTCCAGGATGTAATTTATCATCGGCATCGGGTATGCGTCCATTTAGGACCTCGCATTTATTTGCCGGAAATCCACACACAGCCTCCACTTTCCAGTCTTCTTTCTCACCATGACTATTGGTGAGCTGTAGGGACTCCTGGACGGCTCGATACATCCTTTTTCCAGCAGCTCGTCTACCTTGGCATTTATCTCACCCTGCATTTTTGGATTGTTAGGGTAGTACCGTTGTTTGACTGGTTGGTCGTCCTTCATGGTGATCGTATGTACGGCCGCGTTGGATGTACCATTTATTCCTTCCAGTTCGTCCAACTCGGCTTTTAAAAATCCCTCCACATCCTTTTCCGCAAATCTTTTGGGTGTTTCAACTATTGCCACTGACAGTTTTTCCTCCAGCCATCCTCCTCTTCTATTCTTTGCCGGTATCGACGCGCTGTGTCCTGCGCACTCGACTTCGGCCCCGATTCTGGTGAGGAAAGTCCATCCCAACACCAGGGCGTCGATCAGTCCTGGTAAAATCAGCAGCTCCATTGAAATTGTTTTCGTTCCCAGTCCAATTTTGGTCTCCAGCAGTGATCTTATTTCCCCGCAGCGACCGTCTGCCATCCGTACTTGCCTTCTCGTGGGTCCGACCCTTCCTGCCGCCTGCAGCCTGTCCGCCAGCTCTTCGCTGATGAAACTCGCCGTGGCGCCGGTATCCACCGTGGCCGTAATCTTACTTTCACCTATGAGCACCGTGGCGGACAGTTGCATTTCTTCCGCCTGCAGGTCGCCCATTAATTTCGAGAGGCAGCACCTTGCGATCCCATGGCCGCCCCTCGGAGGCTGGGGTCGCTGGGCGTTTCCCGACCCGGAACAGCACTGAACCGTCCGAACTCCTATTTTTCCGCATCGCCAGCAGAACGTAAGCCGTTGGTTTCGGCATTCCTTCGCCCAGTGGTCTGGACCCCCGCATCTGCGGCAGGCCTGGGTAGGATTTGCTACGTATCCGCCGCGATTGTTTGCTGGTTCGTGGCCGCGCGGCGTACTTCGTGGTTGTGCGTCCGGGTCCTCCTGGCATCGCCTGCACACCGCACCCTGGTCTGATCTTGGCCTTGGTACTGGGTGGCTCTGCCCTTGCTGCTTGCGGGGATTGTTTTCCAGCTCGAATTTCTCCCTCTGCTGGTCGAGCTCCTCAAATTCGTCTGCCAGCGCCATCAATGTATCCAAATTTCGACATTCATATGGGCGAACGAACATTCTGAGTGCCGGCGTGCTGTTCTCTTTTATCCTCTCCAGCGTTTCTTTGGTTGACATATTCAGTGGCCGCATCAGGGTCTGCATATCCCCATAAAATCTTTGAAGCTCTCCCCGTAGGCTTGCTTCCTCTGTCTGACCTGGTCCGCCAGCTTCGCCATGTATCCTCGGGGCAGAAAGTAATTTTGGAAGCTGTAGATGAAGTCTCCCCAGGTCTCCCAGTGCCGATTGTTGGCGATGAACCACTTCAAGGCTCTGCCTTGGAGTAGCTCCGGCATTGCTCGTGGGATCTGGTTTATGTCGAGACCGTAAGTCACGACTGACCACTCTACTTGCTCCAAAAATTACAGCGGCTTGTCGTTTCCGTCGTAGCGGAAATTCCACTCCCGGACCTGCTTGGCAACCTTCGCGTAGTCCTGCGTGTGCGTCCTGGAACTCTCCTTTCTTTCCCGGCTATTTTCCCGCTGCCGGCTTGCGTGGCTTGCGATGCTCGACACATCCATGCTCGCTATCAGGCCCTCGGCACTTGCGGTTGTGATTTTGAATTTTGGCGTGGGCATTTTCCGGAATTTCTTTTCCAGGCCCATTACCAAATCGGCGACTCTCCCAGAGTCTTCCTCATCGAATCGACTGAGCCCTCCAGTTCTATTCCCAGAACTTGACTCACCTCGTCGAAGTCCTCCTTCCTGAGATTATATATCCAGGACTTCCCCATCTCGGAACTTTTGTTTCCTTGGTCAGGACAATCACTCTTGGGCGCCAGATGTAACGACCTGATTCTTTATTTTCTGCTCGCTACGTAAACGTGCGGCTAGCTCAGAGAAGTTGTGAGTTCGTTCCACCAAATTTATATTGAGTGACCGCCCGTGACCAAAGGATAACGCCAGAAATGATTAGGCTGGTGCTGGTTTATTGTTTCTCTACAATATAGCTTTATTGCTATTAATCTGCTGCCCGTTGTCGCTGTCTTCTGCTGCGTTGCTCCTGGCTCGCTGCTGCGCTGCTCCTGGCGTGCTGCTGCGTCGCTCCTGGCTTACCGCTGCGTCGCTCCTGGCCTGCTACTGCGCTGCTTCGGCTTGCTGCTCCGGGCGACTGAGATCGGGACGGCTCCACCAAAAACCCTGGATGTTATGCGAGCTTCCCTACCGGGCCGGCAAGGTGTATCGCCTAGCAGGTG